GCATGGAATCTGCTTGAGATTCTTTTCTCCTCTGCTCCTCCCCCTGCTCCCCCCACCCCCAAATAAATAAAATTTTTTTTAAAAAAGCTAAATTTTAGTCAAACTTCAGAAGCTTAAGCTTAGAAAAGTTAAGTCACCTGTCTAATGTCAATAGCAATTAAATGAAAATAAAAAATATTCAAACTCTACATCTGCATCCAGACATCCCTTTCCAATGATTCAGTGATGTCCTGCATTTCTGAACGTATGACACAATGATGCAAGTCTTTGCAAGAGGCAAAAGCTAAAATCTATTATTACTTAATACGCAGAATGAAGTTTTGATGCAATGTATCAAAGACTGGTATAGCAGTTAATTATTTTTCAGTAGAATTATGCACATTTAACAACCAAACATTACATGACTATAAACATATTATAATGAATTTTCTAATCTTTACTCTAGATTAGCTCTAATTTTAGCAATCTGAACAAATCAGAAAATTTTCAAACAGACCCAACATTTTAAACATTAAATCTAGTACCCATAAGTCTAATCATGTTACTCCCAGAAAAAAAAGTTCCACAAGGAACGACTAAAAGAGCTTGGAAACATCTATAGTAGCTGAGGAAAAATTTAATAATAATTATTAGTTTTTCAGAAGTAGGCTGAACTCAAGGTTACTGGCACTGGAATTTTGTTTGTTGAATTTAAATAAACTTTCCTTAAAGCCAATCTTTAAAAACATTTATCACAGTCTAGTAAAATTCCAGTATATCCCATGGTCAGTCAGAAGTCAAAAAATAACAAAGAAATGTAGAAGATATATTGTACTTTGTAACATCAAATACGGGAATACTATTGACTTTATAGCTGAATACTCAGAGACATGTGGCAAAAATAGTAGACCCTAATCAAGACTGAAACATGCTATTAATTAATATAATGAAGTATTTTATTCATCCTAATTTTCTGCCCCTTGGCGTACCTTTTATCTTCACACTAATAGCATCTGGTATGAATTAAAAAGCCCCTAATCACGAATTTCAAGGGTCTCCTTATTAACCACAAAACATCATGGGTGTGTGTGGGTGGGTGGGTATGCCTTTCCAAAGGTCTCTTCATATGTGATAGATGACAGTGTTTCCTCCTTTATTCCCTTTAAATATTCTATTATATTTACTTGTCTACAACCCTGGCCCCAAATTACTTCTATGTGAATATAAAAACAAACAAAAACAGTGGCACCTGAAATCTAGAGGTATCTGAAAAATGATTCTACTCTACTTCATCCTACTCTAACCTGCTTTGTTATTTTCTCAGAATTTCCCTCATGAAGTAGTTTGTTTTGCTTATGAAAGAGAACAAGACAATGAGATTTTATTTGAAGCAAAGCCAAGTTTTAATAACTCATGCCAATTTTAAGGAAAGCTTCCCTAATATATCAAAATTCTTATAATTTATAATACTAATATTATTTATTTGAAATTAAATTCCCACATCACCCTTTTCTTTTAATAAGGTTCTAAAAATTTTTTAAAAGATTGTATTATTTGTGAGAGCACATGCACACGAGAGAACACGAGTGGGATAAGGGGCAGAGGGACAAGCCGACTCCCCGCCTGGTGAGCAGGGAGCCCGATGCGGGGCCCAATCCCAGGACCCTAGGATCATGACCTAAGCCGAAGGCAGATGCTTAACAGACTGAGCCACCCAGGCACCCCTTTTAATAAGATTTTGACTGCTTTTAAACAAGCAAGTTCAGTTCATCCTTTCAGAATATTTTCTATCAATTCCATCCCTGCACTTTTATTATTAAACAGTACCTAATTTATAAATCCTTTCATTAAAAAACCACTACCCTCAAATAAATAAAATCTTAAAAAAAAAAAAAAACACGACCCAAAGTATCCCACCTTCCAATCATATTTTCAATTCTTAAAATAGTATTTTCTCTACTCACAGATAAATGATGATGTATCACTGGAAACTGATGGCTTCCTCTTAAAGAAAGAAATTAGTTGTCGCATCCTTCCCTCATTTAAAACAAGGTGGCTGTTTCTGGCTGTGAAAAGGCTGAGCAGTTGCCTCTGGCATGTGTTTATTAATTAAAATACTGGCAGGGAGACACAACTTTAAGGGAGTACTTCTGTTGTAGTTTGATGTGTTAGCAAATTATGTACAGGAAAAAAATGTTTGGTTTAAAGCTATTACACTTCATTTTAAAATGAAAACTTAAAACTCAGTATATCCAAAAATGAAGCTTTGACTGGCAATAACAACTCTATAACTTCCACTAACTTATCATGTTTTCTATAATTAACACATTTGTGTTGAGTCTATCAGCAATAAACCTATTACTTATTTCTCAAAGTATTAAGTATTCTATTCAAAAATTGAATTACAGGTACCTCTTACATTTTTTAAAAAAAGATTTATTTGTGAGACGGAGAGAGCACATGAGTGGGAGGGGCAGAGGGAAAGGGAGAGAGAATCTCAAGCAGGCTCCATGCTGAGCGTGGAGCCCGATGGGGGACTTGATCTCACAACCCTGAGATCATGACCTAAACTGAAACTGACAGTCAGACTCTTAACCAACTGTGCCACCAGGTGCCCCTGGTACTACATTTTGAACTACTTTAAAACAAAATATGTGCAACAGCCTTAAATTCAAGGACTGCACAAAGGTATTTTTGAAAACCACAGTGGACTGCAAGCTGGAAGAAAATACAGCTGTCCTTTAATCTACACTTGCAGAAAAGTTAGGCAAGCAACATATAAACAGAAATAGGAAAAACCAAAAAATTTGAGAGAAATGGTCTCCAATCTTCTGTGCTTAGGGAAAAAAAAAAGTTTCACTAAAGTGAATCTGGCTTAAGCTGTATTTGTTTCTTTACTGAGAGTACATGAATATTATCTATTAGATAGATTTTTCTGCCTGATCTAAGTAGAGCAAATGGACAAATACATTAATCTCAATTTAAAAATTTAAAAATTTAAAAGAAAAAAGGAATAATCAATCCAGGCTTAGGCTGGATATATTACAATATAATCATTCTCCAAGTCAGAGAGAATATTTACAAGAATATTTTAATAAAAAACAATGGAGGGGTGCCTGGGTGGCTCAGTTGGTTCAGTGTCTGCCTTCCTCAGGTCATGATCCCAGGGTCCTGGGATCGAGCCCTGCATCGGGCTCCCTGCTCAGTGGAGAGCCTGCTTTACCTTCTCCCTCTGCCCCTCCCATCCTGTTCGTGTTCCCTATCTCAAGTAAATTAAAAAAAACAAAGGAGTGGTGGGAGATGAGGGCCAGTAAGAGGCAATCGGGAATTAAATATTTTTACTCTAACAAAACTCTTTAGAAAAAAGAGCATAAAATTCTTTCAGGTAAATGTATTTTGAAAATATGTATTTTTTCTGTTTTCACTATAATTTTTTGTTTTTTTTTTTAAAGGAGACAAAGTTTATTGAATACACTGCGAGAGAGCGGTGGGCAGGACAGCAAGGGAGATGTTGTCTGCCTGTTTTCACTATAATTAAAATACCTGAAGGCATTTACCAGACTTCACTATCACTGCACACATCTGATTTTTTAAAACACAGAGAAGCATGCATGTTGCTTTCTGTCAAGAAATGTGGTTCCTTAATAAATTTATAACAAAGAAGATGATGTGAACTAGTAGAAACTGTTTCAGACTTAGAACATAGAGACTTTGTGAGGAACAAATCTAGTATATATGGTATCTTTGGGAAAATTACCTTGCTACTACTCCTGGTAGCAAGAGTTCTGATCCAGTGAGTGAAGAGCACACTGGACATCATTCTTTACTCAAACTCTTTGGAGTACACCAACTGCATACCTAGATCAAGCAAATTCAGACTTGGCTCTACCACTTATTAGCCTGGAATCTTAAACAGTGAGTTAACTCAATTTCAATTTCTTTATTTCCAAAATGGAGATTATAAAGTCCTGTTAATAGAATTATTGTGGATATTACATAGGATGGTATGAGTACAGAGCTCAATAGACACTTAAATGAATGGAAGAACAACAACAATGAAAACTCTCTCCTTCCATAGAAAAGTGGAAGTAAAAAAAGAAAAAAAAAAGTGGAAGTAGCTCTATTTTCACATCTATAAATAATAAATGCCAATAAATAGAATACTTAATTTGAGTTAGCCTGGTTTTAAGGGAATGCAGATTAATGTATACCCATAACACCAGTTCACAGATTATTCGTGTGTGTGTGTGTGTGTGTGTGTAGGAAGGGAAGGAAGTACGTTCAATGATCAAATATTCTAAGTTTGGAAACATATATTTGACATCAATCTCCCTTGCAGATTCATAATGCATATTAGCACTCTAAAGGATCTAAAGTCCTGTAATAGAGGTTTAACTTATTTAACCCACTGTTCTCAAAATGTATTTGGTCACAGATTTCTTTTTTGTTTACATCTACTAATAACTCATGGCGCTGTTTTGTTTTTGTTTTTGTTTTTTTCACAGAATGGAGTTTGGTAGTTTTGAGCCATGTTTTATGTGTATGATGCCATAGGAACAGCTCCACTTCTTATTGGCAGTCATTAATTAAAGAAAATCAAATAGATTATAAGTTACAGATAATAATTTCATTACAATTTTACAAACTTCAAGGAAATCAAATTCAAAACCTGAAAACTGCTTTTCAGTAATTTTGATATAAAAGTTTGAGTTTGAAATAAAAGGTGAATTTCAAGGCTATAAATGTTAGCCCACATATAGAAATTTTTAATTCAAAGATTGTATCTAAAAACCATGTAGTGACTGAACATTTTAGCCCTATGCTTTAGCTCTATGTGACTAAAAGTAAACAATGATGGTTGGTTATATGGCCTTTGCATGAAAAGAACTTATCTTGGTCTGAATTCAAATTGCTATTACTTACATTCTATTATACTCCTCTTCCTTCCTGTACACATTTATGTTAAGGCAAGAGAAACAAAAGTATTTTCTATTTTCTATTATACTGCTGTATTTACTTACCTAGTATTTTCACAGCATAATGAGGACTTTCTAAGACAATTCCTTCCTCGGTATCAAATATAGGGTTATCTATTCCAGTCTTTGGAGGAATTTGGGCTAGTTTCTTAAGTCTCATGGAAGAATTAAGGTCAAGTTCTTGTTTTTTCCCTTCTTCTTCTCGCCTACGCCTCATGTCTTCCTGTTGTTGCCGAATACGCTCCAACTGTGCACTTCGACGTACTGGCATCAGCCTGGTGCCCAAATCTCCGGGGCAGTCAACAGCCATCTCTCGATGCTTCTGATGTTCCTCTGGTGATGCAAGATCAACATTTTTTACTTCGCTGTCTGATTCCTCAGTAACATGCCCATTCATATGGGATGTTGTCATGGTTATCTATAAAAACCTGTACCACTTTTTATAAATCAATTTCTCCTATAAAGCCAATCTCTTGATTCTGTAGTATAAAATCCATGTTACTTCAAAAAAAACAAAAAAACAAAAAACTTCTCACATCACATAATAATGCTATGAAATGTATCCATGAAGGAAATCTAAGGGGAAAGATGGGGAAAAAAAGTGTAAGAATTACAACATAAAAGTAGATTTTACACAGCCCACTTCCAATCTATACACAATATAGTATCTCGTAAGTGTACAACATTATTTGGCTATATAGGTTAAGTACTTTCCTTTCATTTTACAGATAACGCTGAGAAAATCAAGGTATTAAAAAAAAATCCCCTCCCAAGAATTTGAAGCATACTGTTTAATTCTATAGCTGAGAAAAATCAATGTATCAGAAAGTTTAGCAAAGTGGGAAAGTAATAAAGTTTTAGGTCTAGTCTGGTAGAGAATAGGTGCTTAAGGTTTAAAGATGTTTTGATCATCTTTGTAGAGTCTCAACACAGTACTTTACACTCAATTTACAAGAGAATGAAATAACTTCTTAGTTAACTGCTAAAGAAATGGGCATACAGCAAGCCATGTTGGTGTCTCACTTGAGATTAAGGCAGTATTGTGGGGGACAATTCACTTTTAGGAGTTTATGAGATGCAGGAGATACCTAATGAAAAAGAAACTTTAATTAGCAGCTAAGGCATCTATAGGATAAAATCACATTAAGTGAGAAAAAGACTATGTGGGTTATCAGTCCTTATAACCAGTCACAATAAAAAAAGAATTAAGAGTTAATTCTTTATGAGGACTCATTCAGAGAATATGGTTGATCTGCTACTACCCAAAAATGTTAAAGTCACACTGCACAGCAAATAAGAATATACTGGACTTAGAGACCAGAAACTGAATTTTAATGCTGCCGCTGCCACTTCTTCTGGTTTTATGATTTAAGACTAGTCAGTTTCTCTCTCTGAACCTCGGCTTTTTTTTCTTAAATGATTTTCTTTTTTTTTAAGATTTTATTTATTTTTTGACAGAGAGAGACAGCAAAAGAGGGAACATAAGCAGGGGGAGTGGGAGAGGGACAAGCAGGCTTCCCGCTGAGCAGGGAGCCCGATGCGGGGCTCCATCCCAGGACCCTGAGATCATGACCTGAGCCGAAGGCAGATGCTTAACAACTGAGCCACCCAGGCACCTCTGAACCTTGGATTTCTTTGGAAAATTTACTCATAGGCTTGTTCTGAGTTTTAAGTGAGATATCATATGCAAGTTTTAAAACTAAAAAATACATATATGCATATTAATTCTTAGCATTAATTTGATTCTATTTTAAAAACCCATTAACTTCATTCTCCTATTTTAAAAATCCTTCAACATATTTTATTATTTCTTAGAAGATTTATTTATTTATTTTAGAGAGAAAGCATGCACAAACAGGGGGAAGGGCAGAGGGAAAGGGAGAGAAGCGGACTCCAGGCTGAGTGCACAGCCCCACTCGGGGCCAATCCCACAACCTCAAGACCACGACCCCAGCAGAAATCAAGAATCAGATGCCCAAATGACTGAGCCACCCAGGCTCCCTACTTCAACATATTTTAGACAAGAAAAATATTTTACTGGATGACACTGGCTTTTCATCTAGCCATTTCTTAGGTATAAGTAGGCAGACTGTTTATGTATGTGTGAACCCACACATTAAATCTAATTAGTCTTCTCTGTTCAGGACTTTAAAACTATTTACAATAATAAACCTACCACCTCCTTGAGTTGAGCATCACTTCAGTAAATAGGCTGGTTAGAGCATATGCCAACTCAGCAAAAGCTGAGTTTTCAAACAATACTCCTAAATGCCAGCCAACCTTCTCTCAAACATCTTGTCACAGACTTCCTAAACCCCACCTAGACTGAGAGGAAAATGACTAGACCAACAGGCAGGAAAACAGGTGCAAGCTACATAAGCCACTAGCATTACATTCTCACAAGAATTTTGGTAGACTTTTCTGTCTGATATCCAAATTTTAACTTCTCTCTTTATAACTATGTGACCTACACATAAATAACTTATTTATAATTGGATTGCCTTCTTTTTCAGTAAAATGAGAACTATTAGAATTATATTAGGCTGTTCTTAAGTTTTATATATTGATTATATGTAATGCAAATTCAGCTTATTTAATGTTCTCATTATAAGTAAGCAGAAATGTATGTGGGAGTTACTGTAATCCTATGCTTAATTTTTATTTTAAAAACCTAGGAGTATAGGCGTGCCTGGGTGGCTCAGTTGGTTGAGCGTCTGCCTTCGGCTCAGGTCATGATCCCAGGGTCCTGGGACCGAGCTCTGCATTGGGCTCCTTGCTTGGCGGGGAGCCTGCTTCTCCCTCTCCATCTGCCTGCTGCTCCCCCTGCTTATGCTCTCTCTCTGTGTGTCAAATAAATAAATAAAACCTTAAAAAAAAAAAAAAAACTTGGAGTATACATATGTCCAGAAAATTAAAACTCTCAACTTTTTCCAATTATATTTACTGGGGATTAAAAATCATATTTAATAATGAATAATGTACTTTTTACCTTATATGCTGGTCTATAAAAATATGATCTGAAATTAAAACTCTCAGCTTAAAAACTATAAGACTGTGTCCATAATTCATTATGACAGATCATGGGAGGGGAGAATTACAGCTCATGCAAAAGAGATGGGGCCAGGTGATCTGGGCCAAAGTTTTCATGCTTAGACTATTATCATGCTTGTCTTTCTGGATCTAGTCTTCTACTCTCAGAAGAATTTCTGCAACCTGATATTAATCTGCTTAAAATTCCATTTTGGTCATTTCCCTTGGAGTGTTCACAGTCTACTGGGAGAGACAGCAAAGAAAATGAATGATTATTCTTCCCAGTTGGTTCCTCCTCATTAGATTCTAAATTGAAGACAAGAGTCTGGTCTTATTTTTATACCCCCCAGTACTTAACACAATACATATCATATAGAGAATGCCCAGTGAGAATTTGTTCAACTAAGAATGTCAGAAATTCATACAGGATTGCACAGACCATAGACTCTGAAACTTAGTATGTGGTAAGGAGTCACAGCAAACACTCAAAACATAAGGATAAATTTCTTTGAGCAATATTTCAAAGAACAACTAAAAATTAGCCAGATAGAAGAGTCTGTTCCAGGCAGAGGGAATCACATGACCAATAAGAATGAAGAGTATGAAAATATAGCACTTTGAGAAAACAGAACAGAATGCAATAAGGCTGGATGGGACAGTGGGAGCACACCATACATGAATAACGATAAAAAGGCAAGCAGGGGGCCAGACTGACACAGTTTAAGAGCTAAGGACTTAGACCTTTATCTTAAAAGTAGTAAGAATTATTACAGGATTTAAAGCAGAGCTGACATGGTCGCATTCACTTCTAGAGGAATATCACTCTGGCAGAAGTGTGTAAGATTGACTGGCAATGAGACCAGTTTGAAGGCAACTGTAAGAAATGAGGTCCTGAACTAAGACAGTGAGGACAAAGACTGCCTTTGAAAAAAACATATAGGTTACAGAATTACTGGAACTTGGTGTCTGCCTTTCATATAGCAAAAAGAGGAGAGTTGAGAAAAAGGAAGAGAAGGAAGTAGTAGTAGCAGCACTTAAACTTTAACATGTACTGAGCACTTAAGTGCTGGAGAATACTGCAAACACTTAACACAGTATTCACTCATTTAATCCTCATTACTACTCTAAAAGTAGTTCCAAATATGCCTGTTTTGTAGATGAGGAATGGGGGCTGAAGCAGGTCTTGAAGATAGAATGGAAAAATAAGCAAGAGGCCATATGAACAAAAGGCAGGAAGGTAAAAGGTGTGGGAAAAGTACAAATAAGGCTAGTTGAACTAAGGCAGTCAGCTTGTACAAGAGAAGAGCAGCTAGAAAGTTTGATTGGGTCCAACTTACAAAAGGTCTTAAACATAAGTCCCTAATTCTCAAGACAGTAAGAAAGTCATCAAAGATTTAGAAAAGAAGAGTGATTTGTACATAAATGTAACTGAGCATTTACTCTTGGCTAGGTACTACGGTTATAGAGACAGGATCCCTGCCCATTAGCTTATCTACCAAAATGTCCTACAGGGATCTAGAAATTAACGTGTCCAGAGTTAAACTCATTATTTCCCTTTAATCCCCTCATATTTCTCCTTAATCTTCTTCCTCCACTCTCAGTTCTAATTAATGCCATTATACTTACTCAGTTACCCAAGACAGCATAATATTTAAGAGAACAGGCTCCAGAATCAGACTGCCTAGGATCTAATCCTTGCCCCCTCTCGTTTTAAAAGTCTCAGTTGAAATACATCCTCCTCCAGATTTCCATGACTCCCCAAACTGGTTATGTGCCTGCTCTGAAATCCCACAGCCCCTGTCACATCTCTGATCAAACCAGACTACAGCTATTTGTATCTCTGTCTGCCCGCCCCATCAGACTAGAAGCCTTTAAAGGTCAGGAACCATACTGACTCATCTCTGGATCCATGATACTGTCCAGCAGAGGGACCAAGCAAACAGGGAGGCTTCAGAATAAGAACCTAGGCAGTGTGACTCCCGGACCAGTATCTTTGGGTTACTAGATGGATGGCAAATATCCTTAAGATGGAAAATACAGGAGAAGAACAATTAGATAAAAGAAGACAGAAACTGAAGGATAATATGGGTTTAGTTTCAGACACATTAATTTGAAGGTGACTACAGGTCATATGGGTAAATGATCTACACCTATTAAGCAGGGATCTATCTTATTCATCTCTATAGCCCTGATATCTAGCAAGGGACAAATGCTTAATTAAGCATATGAGTAAAATCGCTCCTATGTTCAAATACCTCTAATGGCTTTCATATTGCTTAGAGAACAGTCCCAACTCACAATGTAAATCCAAACTTTCTATTTCCAACACAAACTTTCTAAGTTTGCTTCCTCATTTGTGCCTATCGCAAAACTTTTTTCTTCCTGCCCAAGTACCTTATGAAATAAGAAATATAAACTGCTTCTCCTTTCATCTTCTGACTTCAAGATCTATCACAAGTCCCCATTTCCTTCAAGAAATCTTCCCAGACCGCCTTGGTTAAATAATGATCTCACCAAACAACACTCCAAAAGACTTTATAATGGTCACAAGTTAATTCATGAGGGCCATAAAAGATTCAAAAGTCCTTCCAGAATCAAAGAAACATTATGCTATGTCCTATAGTTCTAGCATCGAAATCATTGTAATTCTTAAACAGGCAAACCATGAATACTCTAGCTCACATATGTAGTCAATACATATCAATAAAATGTGGCAATCTGAAGGAATTATACTCTCCCTCTCCAAAACACACACACACACACACGCATGCAAGCAAAAGAAAGAGAAAAAGAAGAAAGTCTTTTGACAATTCAGAAGCTGGTAAATAACTAGAGAATTACCTCCTTATGTGTAAATAAAAGACTGCCTTATGCAGATAATATAGTTACAGGTTCCTGGCCCTAAGAGTATTCTATTCCTCTCTTCTCAACCTTCTAATTATCAGTTGTTTTTAAAATGCCTCAAAAGCCCACATTTCACATCCTCATCAGAGTCCCAGCTCATACCCCCACCCAAGAAAAAAATAAAAATAAAAAAGAAGTCAAAACTCTTTACATAGGCCAAAAAACAAGAAAATGAATTTTCAGGTTGGCAGGCCAAAGCTGTTTCAGTGCTAGCTTCAAACCAGTTGGGGAGAAAGAGCTTTGCTTATGTGAGTTGGCTATAGGAGAAGGGGGTAAAGGGAAGCTAAATAAGCTTCAAATAATTAAAAAAGATTGAGATTGGGGGACCTGAAATAGCCTGAAGGATATAGGCCCACTGAAAACTCCACACCAAGAAACAGAACCATTTGTGTGACAGCTGGGGAACATGAAGATGGTCGTCTACACTAGTGTCCAGAACTCTGGATTTTTTTTTCAATTATCCTTCCTCCCCTTCTCCCACAAGCAATGCCTTTTGACTAGCAGCTGGGAAGTTTCATTTTAAGTGATCAGCATTCCTCTGACATTCTAAGAAGTTGGACTATTTGTTTCCATAGAAACAGCTTTGTCAGCTAACAGAAGATTCAGGCCAAGAATAGTGAAAAGAACTTACGTTATGCAAATTGTAAAGAACTTGTCTACTATCCTCTTAGTTTTTCTTCTCTGGTTTTTCACAGAACGCAGGTTTTCTTACTCTAAAAGAGAGGACAGACAATCAAGTGTAAAGGTCTGCAGTATTTTTTAGGGGGAAAGAGTGAGAGAGAAAGGTTAATTTAATATGATATCTAATTGTTTGCAGATGGCTAGGATTTCCTGGTATGAAGTAGTAAAAATGTAAATCCTCCCCCCCAATATTTAATGGACAGCAATTAAAATCAATGTGAATTACCTGAAATCAGTGAGGAGAAAGAAGTAAGCATAACTGGTAAGACCCTTTGCAGATTATTATTTTTTTTTTAAAGATTTTATTTATTCATTTGAGACACAGAGATAGAGAGAGAGAGAGAGAAAGCATGAGCAGGGAGAGAGGCAGAGGGAGAGGGAGAAGCAGGCTCCCTGCTGAGCAAGGAGCCCGATGTGGGGCTCGATCCCAGGACTCTGGGATCATGACCTGAGCCGAAGGCAGATGCTTAACCATCTGAGCCACCCAGGCGCCCTTGCAGATTATTTTTAATGACACCTTTTGACCTCTAATTTAAGGTTCAAATAAAAATGCAGTTTATATATTTTCTTTGTTTTAACTACAACTTCTGGACCAATTTTAAATATTATGAATAGCTTACGATGCTGAGAAAATGAGAAGTTAGGGATCTAAAAAGATAAAAAAGAATTTGACAGACAGGAACCATAGTTAATTCAGAGGGGGAAATTTTGATGCTACACTGGACCAAGACAGGAGAGGATCCTGCTGTCCTAATGGAGCTTATATTCCGGCAGAGTAACAGATAATACAGAGCAAACATGATAAGATGACTTCAGATAAAGAGCTAGAGAGAAAGTGAAACTAATATAATAAACAGTGATGTTTGGAAGGGACAGCATTAGATAAGAAGGCCAGGGAAGGCCTATTTTAGGAGGTGATATTTGCACTGAGACCTAAATGAAAAAAAAAAAAAAGAGTCAGCTGTGGGAAGGTCCAGAAATAAAGGGTTCCAGGTTGAGGGAACAGAAAGTACATTTCTATACAGATATCACCAGGAATCTCAATTTCAGTATATCCCAAACTGACCTCAACTTCTTCCCTACTGTTAATTATACCACTATCTCCAAGATCTTAATCTTTTTCAAGCTCTATTATCTAGTCAGTTGCTAAGATCTGTGGATTATACAAAGTTTTTAGAATCCACTGAAGGGTGGCAAAATAAGCCACCCCAAAATATCCCACTAGAAATTCATGTTCAGAAAATGAAAAGGCATGCTAAAAAAAAAGGGAGAAATATTTGCAAATAATTATGTCCACTATAAACACTTACAACTCATTAAGTAAAAAAATCCAGTTTTTAAAAACAGAGCAAGAGATTTGACCACTTCACCAAAGAAGATATACAAGTAGCAGAAATGAACATTTGGAAAGATACTCAAAATAATTTTTTTAAAAAGATCTTATTTATTTATTTGACAGAGACACAGCGAGAAAGGGAACACAAGCAGGGGGAGTGGGAGGAGAAGCAGGCTTCCTGCCAAACAGGGAGCCCGATGCAGGGCTCCATCCCAGGATCCTGGGATCATGACCTGATCCAAAGGCAGACTCTTTAACGACTGAGCCACCCAGGCGCCCCAATAATTCATTTTTTTAAAAAACTTTTATTTATTTGAGAGAGAGAGAGAATGAGAGAGCAAGAGCGGGGAGGAGGGACAGAGGGAGAGGGAGAAGCAGACTCCCCACTGAGCAGGGAGCCTGACATGGGGCTCCATCCCAGGACCCTGGAATCATGACCTGAGCTGAAGATAGATGCTTAACCGACTGAGCCACTCAGGCACCCCGCAAAATAATTAATTTTTTAAAGACTAATGTACATTCATATACACTGTGTATTCAAAACAATTCATATATTCACATCATATTAAAAAATCCCCACAAAATGAAAGAATGGCCCATATACCATCTTCTCAAAGAAAAAACTTTAGCTATATCCAAAACTAAGTAAATACAAGTTAAAACTCAAATATTTTTGGGCTAGTCATACAAAGTATTTAGCTCAGAAGTTATTACTGACAACTTTTTTTTTTTAATTCAGTGAGAAAATGCTCCATTTGCTTATATCAAACACAAAGCTGAAGGTCTTTGGAGATATTCAAGACCACAAATTCACAGGAGGAATTGGTTAAAAGCCAAACAGTATCAAAGATATCAAATGGTTGGTTACTTGAACTCCTCCTTATCACCTTCAACAACTTGGTAATAAAAGATTAAATGAGTCCAAAAGGTTAGTCAAGTTTTTGAAAAGGTACTAGGACAAAAGGTAATTTATAACATTTTCAAACTGACCAGAAATGGATTTTTAAACATGTGGGATAAAATTACTTGTAATATGGCTTTCCAGTATATTGCTACCAATCAAGAATATATATGGCCTAGTTAAGAGAACAAGAACAATCTTGATAAGGAACAGAGCCAGTGTAAGAGATAGAAGATAAAGCCAGAGTTGACTGAATGCTAAGCTAAATTGTTTGAATTTTCTCCTGTAAGCAATGGGAAACTCTGGATTTGAGTTTTAAAAAAAGAACCAAAAATTGTCTTTTTAGAAAGTTAAATCTACACTGTAACCAGAGTTGACCAGGGGAAATGTAAGTAGAGTAGCCAAGAGAGATAATGTTTTAATACTTTATGCATGGGAGGATAAAGGAAGCAGCAGAAAGAAGGAAAAGGATAATTTCAAACAATGGTTATTACAAAGGATAACTTGACAGGATTTGGAGACCAGTAGCCAAATATAATTCTAAAACATTGAGCATGACAACTGAACCTGGAAGAAATTATGGGACCTTAAAATAGAAGAATTCAGAGAATAAGGTTTTCTCCTTGGGAGGGAGAGGGGGATGGGGAGAACTGGAAAGATGATAAATTCCATTTTAAAGGATAATTTTTGGCAGGCTAGGCAGGGAAACCAAAGAAATGAAAATTTGTAAGTAATTTACATATTCATAGCTTACATTTGTAAAGCTTTTCAGCTTCCATAATAAATTCAAGCACATTATCTCATCTGAACTCACTTCAGTTTCCCTGAAAGGTAAGCAGGTTGGAGATCCCCATTTTCCAGAAGATACGCAGACATTGCAAGTTAGGTCACAGAGCTACAAGTAATAGAACAGAAACTAAAATCCAGATCAGTGAACCCTTATGTGGATCCACAGTGCAATGTCAGTTATATCTCTGTAAGATGAAACCACCCTGTCTACATACTTCTTTCAAAAATCACATAATTACATCATTCTTTTACTTTTAAAATATGATTAGAGAGAATTCATCTTTTCTCTTCAACTGACTGCTTCATAAAATGACACAGTAATTAATTTCACTTATATATTAACAGACTACAAGTTTACTATAACACCAGACTCTGGCAGCATGGCACCTATTGCTCAAAGTTTCTAAATACTCAGCGAAGGAGAGGTAGTCAAGTGGAGAAATGATAGAAATGCATATAAATTTCTCCTCATTTGAAAACTGACACTAAGCTACAAACATTTCAGTTTCTAGTGACATTTTAAAAATGTTACTCTCTACTCTGTATTGCTGCAATTTCAGTATGTGCTGCCAAACTAAGCTACATGTCCTACCTTGACAAACTGTTTTTAATAATAAAATATTAATTTATACCTTGAAAAATGAATATCATAAAAATAAAACAGACTAGACAGACTAATCTTCTCAGATAAATTAGCTGTCCCTCGGGGTCAAATTTAAGTATTTCAAATTGTAACTGTAATATCCTTAAATATGTTAGTAATTAATTACCCCAACTAGCATCAATTCTCCCACTATAATATCTCACATATATCTCTAGCTTCTCATACTACCTTAAATCATATTCATATTATCTCTCATGAGTTTTTCTATGAACTTCAAGTCACCCCCATCTTGTTCTAGATCTAGTTGCCACTTACTTTGCACAGATGACCCTTGAATAACATGTGGGTTGAGAATTACTAACTACTAACAGCCTACTGTTGACAGGAAACCTTACTGATGATATAAACAGTTAACACATATTTTGTATGTTACATTTATCACATACTCTATCCTTACAATAAAGATAGAGAAAAGGAAATGTTACTAAGGAAATCAGAAGGAGAAGTAAATACATCTATAGGACTGTACTGTATTTATGGGGGGGGGGAAGAACCTGCATATAAGTGGACCCAGGCAGTTCTAACCTGTGTTGTCCAAGGGTCAACTGTACTGCTGAGTAACTTTTCCTAAAGCACACCTATTATCATGGGTGTCCCTTTTCAAAAGTTTTTGTTGCCTTTCCCTTTTCTTAAGCTACTATTTACCCCAGGTTTACTATGTACCATTCTTCCACTGTGCTAAGTACTTAGTGTGCATTATCTCATTTAACCCTCAGAACAATCTCCTTGCTGAATTTTCTAACTTAGCTTAGTAAAGACACTGACCTGTCCAATGTAAAAAGCTAAATGGCACAGTTGGGTCTCAAACTGAATTGTTTGACTCCAGGGTACTTTAACAACTTCTGGAGAACCCATTTCAAGTTCCTTAGCCTGTCATTCAAATGGCTCCCCTTGATTAGTCCTAGAATACTTTCCCCATTTCTCCCTCCCTTATCTTCCGAATCAAACTACTTGCTATTTCCAGTACAAGCCCTGCAACTTCCCACCTCCACATCTTTGACATATTTGTTTCTTATTCCCAGAAAAAAAAAAAAAAAATCCTTCCTGTTCAATTCTTTACCTGTTAAAATTTCCCTCTACCATTAAGAGTGTTATGAAATCTTCCTTACTCCTGCCTGCTCCCATCCACAACCTACACTTCTACGGTACTTAATCTATGCCCCTGCTGTAGCATTTATTTATACATTTCCTTCTCTCCCTAAGTTATATTTCCCTTTTTAGTTAAATCACTAATATATCCCCATACATTCTGGTAGAAGACTCAATATACTCTTTAATGTATATATTCAAATAAATCAGGTAACCTATCAGTTTCTTCCTTTTTTTTTTTTTTTTAAGTTAT